CTATTCTGTTCTGTTCTGTTCTGTTCTGTTCTGTTCTGTTCTGTTCTATTCTATTCTATTCTATTCTATTCTATTCTATTCTATTCTATTCTATTCTATTCTTATTCTACTCTACTCTACTCTACTCTACTCTACTCTACTCTATTCTACTTTGTCCTATTCTATCCTATTCTATCCTATCCTATCCTATCCTATCCTATCCTATCCTATCCTATATGTTCTTTTCTCCAAACCTTCTGAATCTTTATTGGCATCAGATTTGGGCATCCTGCTCAGTTGTCCTTCCTACCAATGGGATCTAGCTGTTTACTGAAAAGAAAATGGGATGGGTGAGACCTATTCATGTGCCCATCTCCAAATGAAAAAGAAAATGAATGATCGGGCCACTTTTGAACTTCCTCCTCTTCCCCAGCCACCACTAAGCCATAATCCTTTAGTAATTCCTCAGATTTCCTTCATGGCACTCTGAAGATTTGCTCAGGAACTGTTGCCAAATGTTGCCTGAGTTCAGGCTTGCCACTTTTAAAAATTATCAGGAGGAACTAAGAGAGTCCCTTACATGTATTAGATCTAAGTGTCCTTTCTTCCCACCCATAATGCATTCTGTAGTTGCTGAGTTGTTACAGCCCCGATGCCAAGTACCGGCAGTTCAGTTTTCCTGCCAATTGTAGAAGGAAAGCCATGCTGTAAAACCTGAAAGTTGGCATAGCAGAATGGAAAAGCAAGCAACAAACCTCCTTGAAGTCCTAGAGGAATTTGTCTTTCTGTGGGTCCCAGTCCAACTTTTATCACTGCAGTTTTCAGCTCCCTTAAGAGCATTAAAGACTAGTCCAAAATGCAAGAAGTTGCCCACCCTGAGTGAGCCCAGCAGCCATCTATTCCAACGCTATCAAGGCTATCCAAGTATATTATTTGCATAGAATCGACTGTGGACAACCATTAGATGGCAGCAAAGAGCGATTTGCTATATCTCTTTGTTGCCATCTAGTGAACGGCTGGACTTCCTGCAGTTGATGTGCACTATTGGGAGTTAATGCTTGCAAAAAGGAGCTTTAACACTGTGCTAGTTTCCTCCTTTTTGGCTGCAGTTCATTTAAGGTTCTTTCACAAGTAGGTTTGCATATGAATGATGTTTATGTCTTGCTTTTCTTTCGGGAAGTTAGCACAGAGAATAAAATGCTATATATAGTTCTAGGTTGTCACAATCCTTTTTCTCTCCAAAACAAGAGATGATTGTTTGGATGTTTGCTTTTCATTTGGGCTGCGATGAATTAATAAAGCCAGGATTCCAACATTAATAAGCAATTTTTCACTTAAAAAAAAATATTGTTTTACGACTGTAAAATGAAAATAAGCTTTATAGGCAGTTTCCCACTTTCTCAATCAGCTTGTGAGTGAAACATAATGTCTCCTTTCCTTTAAATACATTAAGCATCATGATGCATTAGAGATGATTGAAGTAACTACTAGTATTCCATATGATATTTATCTTTCACCTTTGCCCTCTAGCAGCTCTGGGTTACGTTCATAGGGATTATCATATTTTAATCTTTGCAACAGCATGTGAGATAACTAAGACTAAATGTGACTGCCTTGAGATAATCTGGGGATTAGGAGGACTAGCCTCCATTGAAACCCAGGTCATTATAGACTGCTCCCATGCCTCATTTAATCTCATCTGCTTGGCCACATGTAATCTATATTTCCATTAAAATTAAATCAAACTGCCCACATGATTGCAGACTGACATCCCAGCAATATTTTACTTTGTTTATAGACCATAATTGGCTCTATATTAATCTGCAATTGGTAGGAAAAATAAAAATAAAAATGCCTTTTTATTAGCTTCCGTAATGTTTGCAAGTCTGCAGTCTTTGTACCATGAAGGACGCATCAGAGTCCTGAACTAAAGGGGATATAATTTCAGTGTTCATTTATTCGATAGATGACTCTGGTTAAAAGAATTAGATTTGGGGATCTTTCCCCCTAAAGATAAAATTAGACTTCTGTATTCATTTGTCAGCTGAAAAATTATATGTAAACTTCACTTTGCCTCTATAGGTGGTAAGAAATGCAATTAATTAAGAACTAACGTTAATAAAAGACAGCTAGCGTGCTATGAAACACATTCTGATGCACGACTGAATATGCTATGCTTTTTTATATTAAAAAATGCTACGTTAACTGGTGTGTGTGTGTGTGTGTGTGCGCACGTGTGCTAACCAGCCATTAGTGAGTAAACAAAGAAAGAAAGAAACAAGTGTTATTCTGAACTGAAAACAATTATCTTGCCAAATTGGATACGCTTTAGGCAAAGATGAGGATTTTTTTTTTTTTTTTGGTTTTCATAACCCAGTAGTAATAGCAACCCTGCTGATTTCATTTTCATTTAAATATATTTTGTTACTGTCCTAACAGTAATGAGAAAGAAAATATGTTGTTCTAATAACTGCTTATATGAATTATGAAATATTTATTCCAGAATGACATTGTTTTATCTTCTTCTTCTTTTTTTCTCCTCTCTGGTTTATATTTTCAGGTTTTGTCAGTGCCTAGGCACTAACTAATGTTTCTCAACACTGAAGTCACTACCAGGGTATACAATAAGGCAGCGGTGGCTAACCTTTTTGGGGGTTCTGTGCGAAAAATTGTGTGTACGCTCGCACTCACGCACTTGCATGCCAGCACCCAGAAGGCCATGCGTGCGTGCCTGCTGAGCATGAATGTGCGATCCCCCCCTGCTGCCCCCTTACCTGCACTGCGCATGTGCGCACCTCCTAGCTGATTTATTCTCCTGTTTGAGGCCTTTTTTAGCCTCCCAGAGGCTCAAGGGAAGCCTCTGTAGCCTTTGTAGGCCAAAAAATGGAGCCATTTTATCACTTCCGGTATTTCCAGAAATACAGGAAGTGATGAAACGGGCCTGTTTTCAGCCTGCAAAGGTTGCAGAGGCTTCCCTTGAGCCTCTGGGAGGCTAAAAAGGGCCTCAAACAGGACAAAAAAATCAGCTGGGAGGTGAGCACGTGTGCAGTGGAGGTAAGGGGGCAGCAGGGGGGATCACACATTCATGCTCAGCGGGCGCGCATGCATGGCCTTCTGGGTGCTGGCATGCGTGAGTGCGAGCGCGCATACAATTTTTCGACCTTTGTGGTGCTGTTAGAGTGCAGTACTGCAGGCTATTTCTGTTGACTGCTGGCTGCCTGCAATTTGGCAGTTCGAATCTCAGCAGGCTCAAGGTTGACTCAGTCTTCCGTCCTTCCAAGGTGGGTAAAATAAGGACCCAGATTGTTAGGGGCAAGAGACTGACTCGTAGACTCTGCTTAGGGAGAGCTGTAAAGCACTATAAAGCAGTATATAAGATTAAGTGCTATTGCTAAATGGCTTTTGAGCTACAATGGAAATTCTACAACACTTATTAGGCTTATACTGGTCCACAGCTAGGTTTTGGATGGAATTTATGAGCCAGTTATACAAATACATGAGTGGAAGAAGGAAGTCCACAGCTGTACATGCAATAGTGGAAGGAACAAACCCATATCCACCCAACCATAGGTTAAGGACATCAAAATTAAGTTCAAGACTGTAAACTGTATTTTTTTAAGGTCCTGTTTTTAATTCTATAATAAATAATATTAGGAAACCAGAAGTGATTCATTTCTTTTTTCTGTAGACTTAAACAAATACAAAGACAAAAGTTACTATAAATCAAAATTAAAGCTCTAGGAAAGGGCTCTATTGTTAGCTATAGATGCAAACTATTGTCATAAAGATATTAG